TTATATATATATACATAGATATATATTTGTGTATTTACACATGCATATGTGTATATGATACGTATAACACATCAATGGTCACGATAACTTATTGACTATTATTCCGTTTGTGATGTCTACTATAGTGTTGCAATTGACCTGCTTATTTGTGTGCAAGTTAAAAACAATAAAACAACATCGAGAAAACCTAGGAACATAATCCTGGCCCCCTGGGTTATTACAGAGCAAGCACAGGAACAAGGATCTTGATGAGACCGAGCGAATTGAAATGGTTGCAGTATGAGTGATAAAGCTGATAGTTTTTAAAAAACGAGAGCAAACTGCTTGGAACACGAAGGTTACGGCTCGTACTTGAACTTTCAGACTTCAGTATTCAGAAGTTCAGAGGCTCGTCCTGTCGAGAGGTGCTCAGATTGAAATAAGATGACGTGTACGTGACGTAATAGATCTACTCTCGGAATGTTGTGAATATAGATTTACCAGATGCGTCACTGCAGTTCCGTTGTCAGCAGAGCAGAGCCATCAGGCCCAAAAACACGATTTTATGGACCGCTGCCCTAGGTCATGGACGGCAGAGTCTCGGCTATGGTTTATGGTGACCGTAAATTCGTAATCCGTTTGAGGGCGGACGTATTTCCATTCATTTTTTGAAAAAGGTTTGGCAACTATGAAACATTAAAAAAATAAATGTAGTTCTCCCGAGGCTCATGGCAGTCTGACTCGCGAGGAGCTCGCTTTATATAGTATTTTGAAAAGAATGTCAGGGCAGCCTGCAGTCCAGCGCTGCAGTAGACAACAGCCAGATATGTGTACAGATGAGACTTGTTAATACAATAGATAACCCAGCGGCGCCAGCAAAATAGATACTACAGGCCCCAGCAGAGATCGTTCTGCAAAAACTTCCCGTGACGATTGGAAAGATAATTTTTTTTGTATACATAAAATACACAAGTAGTAGTTAAATAGCGATAGTCACTCGAGTGAGCCGTTTTAAAAAGTTTTCATTATCATATGAATAGAAACTAGCTCAGCTACTAAAATTCTAGTGTATGCATGTTGCGTAATAACGTGCTGTGCTACGACCAGAGAGGGAGTACAGACAGTGCAGATAGTATATACAAGCAGTACAAAGCTGTGCACGCACGATGTACAACACAACTAGTAGAGCACCGATTGATGAGCTATCCAAGAACAGTGACGTAGAAGAAAAAACTGACACAGTTGAAGATGTTGCAGGCATAGATACAGAGCCAATCGCTAGCAAAGATTTAGGGCGGATAGCAATAATTGGCAAGGGGCCGTACGGTGTGGCCATGATCGATGCGTTACTCCGAACTGGCCACGATGTATTATTGGGCGTGCGCACCCCAGCAGGCAGTGGGTCTGTGGGATCAGTGGAGTTGTTCCACCCGGACTATGCTATTCACCATCATTTGCAGAAGGATGTCGCGAGACAGCGCATTCGAACTGTTCCCGATGCGATCTCTCAGGCGGATGTGGTGGTGGTGTGCATCCCGTGTACATCGCACACACGATTCGTCAAAGAGAATGCAGCCATACTGCGCCGAAGAGGGGCGGAGAAGTTGAATAGCGGGGGCACAGGCATTGTGATGATCGATATCAGGAACACGCGCCAGCACGATCAGGACTCAAGTGTGGCCGAGCAATTGCAGGCGGCCCTGATGGCCGAGTGCCTAACGAGCAGAATTTCGCACTCGTATGTGAGTCTTGTAAAAGCGTTCAACACTGTCTCGGAATTGCCCCAAAAAGACATGTTACGTAGTGAAGACGCCGTGCCCGTGTGTGGCAACGACATCACAGCCAAAAACACGGCGATGAATCTGGGTAGTGGGATTGGCTTGAGGCCATTCGACATTGGAAACCTCGACAACGCACGCCAGATGGAGGCCAATGGATACAGCAACTGGTCCAAATGGGGTAGGGCGGCGATCGCGATATTCATCATCTTGACTTTCTTTTTAGTGTACTGTACGCTGTGGTATATGGTGTTCGATTCGCCTATTCCCAATGCGCCTGTGTACACCTGGGACCAGCCTGCGCTCGTCATAAACAAGGCCTGTTCGAACACTGCCCTAACGCTTCTGGCGGTGACTTATCTACCCGGAAAACTGGCCCATATTCACCAAATAATCCGCAAGGACTGTAATAAAATGTTACCGTTTTATCTACCATCCTGGCTCCAGATTCGCAACCAACTCGGAATCACGGCTGGTTGGTTCATGGTGGTACACACAGCCCTCACGATGGCACTCACTACTCCCAACATCAGCGAACAACAAAGTTTCAGCCAACTTAAGAATCTTCTAGCACAAATCACACTACTTATCGGTGTGGTCGCTGCGTGTTTGTGGCTGCCTGTCACGCTCTCTCCGGTCCCCGCCATTCGCCAGGGCCTATCTGTGCGCAAGTGGAAGTTTTTGCACAATACTATTGCGCACACTGCCCTCGTCGTAGCTGGTGCTCATGGGATGATGTTCTGGTTGGCAATGTATGTGTGCCCGGTCGATGGTGAGTGCTTGTACTTAGTCCCATTACTCTCCTCATATCCTGCTAGCATGCCGCAGCCTTCATCTATTTCATCCATTATTGCCATATATGTGGTAGTACTACACTTGATTCTGACTATCGGCCGAGTTAAGCGAGTACATGGAGACAGGAGCGGAAAGGTGAGTAAAGAGATAATTACTAAATCCATGGCTAAGATGCGTGGCAAAACCGATTCCAAATGGCATAAGGAAATGGCACAGGGGTTGGTTGCCTTAGCCTTCGCGTATTCCGGAGAAGATGGCGGGCTCAACCATAGGGAATTCATCACTGCATTTTCAGATCTACCCGCAGTGTACGTAAACCGCCTATTCCAAGCGCTAGATATCGATGAATCAGGATGGGTTGGTATGGAGACCATGCTTCCCATCTTCTTGAACGATCATCCCGTGTTGAGCTTCTATGAATAAACGGGACCCAAAGAGTCAAAAACTATCCGACACTTATTGCACAGACTCCCCAGGAGCGCCGGCACCTCTCTGAAGGTGTGGCTGCAGATGCTGGAGACAAAAAAGCTAACAGACCTGTTAGAAGAGGCCTTGTGTCCCATGAATCGGAGCTTGAAGAAAAAGCACATCAAACGCAGAGAGCGGGTAATATCCGCGAACGAAATAGCCGTACGCGCCATGTGTGTGCAATTCATAAAGTTCTCAAGTAGAGATGCGTGCCTTCATATAGACGAGTTCTACAGCGCCTTCAAAGAGTTGGACCGAGATCACGCTCGTGTGCTATTCGACAAGGTGTTTGACATGAATAAGGATGGCGTTATCTCCTTCTCAGAGTTCAAAACGACCGTAAACGATCTACTGTCGCTCGACCGTACAGCCAGATCAGAGCTGATGTTCGATATGGTGGACAGTGACAAGTCTGGCACCATCGAGTACGCCGAGCTTCTAGCACTTTTGCACAACGGCCGCGCGTCGAGCAAAGTGGTACTCTCCGATTCTGATGCACGCAGTCTCGTGGACAACTTCATTACGAGTGCCATTTCACGCAAATCCTCTACCCTGGACTATGAACAGGTGCACATCCCACGAGCAGATTTCGTGCACTGGATGCAACGCACGGATACAGACAGACTACTCGACCTGTCTGCTACCGTGTTATCCTGGATGAAGTCAGAAAGCAAGAATAGCTACTCCACGAAGTCGCACACGTACTGGCTTCGCAATCATCAGCGCGAAGTCGGTGGCGCTTTTGTGTGGCTGGCAGCCACTGTGATCATCTCGGTCTACGCGTTCCACACTTACTACAATCAAGTTCCGTACATATCGTTTGGTCTGGCGAAGCTGGGAGCCTGGAATATAATGATGAACACTTGCTTTCTGTATCTTCTTCTGATGAGGAATGTGCTGAGTTGGGCGAGGCAAATGTGGATCTTCCATATCTTCAACACACATAACCATGTCGCCGACCACGTTTTCATTGGCAAGATGATTGGAATATACTCTATACTCCACATTGTGGCACAAAATCGATTATATCAAAATGCCTGGCTTGTGGGATAACAAATGGAAAACTTTTGGACTCATCCTCGGTGCAGCTTTCATCACAGGAGTATTCCTGACCGTTTTGTTCGTACTGATGTATTTACCGGCGCTCGCTAGAACCGGAGACGTTCCGAAATTCATGAAGCCTATGATCGCTAAGATGGACCTATTCCGCACCTTCTATGTAACGCATCGCCTGTATTACTTCTGGTTCTCTATACTCCTTATTCATTCACCAAATTTCTGGAAGTTCCGGGCTGTACCTGGCACCATCTGGTTCCTATCTAAGTTCCTCCACTTTGTGCAATTCCGCTTGCTATCCGGCGCGACTGAATTCGGCGCCAGGCTCGAGGCTCTACCGGACAAGGTAACCAAGGTAACCATACCATACAAGGCCGCTCACAGCAAGCTCACGGCTGGTAGCTACGTACGCATCATGCTGCCGGATATTGCTGTGCACGAATTTCACCCCTTCTCTGTAGCCAGCTCCGGTACTCGTGAAGAGCTTGTATTGTACTGTAAGGCGGTCGGACCATGGACGAAGAAGCTCTTGTCTCTCGCCCAGGAGCGCCAGTACACAGGTGTACTACCGTCCGACTTTGCGGTATATTTACCCATGCCACCATTGGCGGCTACCGGTATATCAGGGGGAGGCAAACCTAACTACAACCAGAGCGTTAGTGTCGGCAATCAGGATTCGTGCAGAAACCTGGGTGGCGCCTTGACGTCTGATGTGAATATGTCCCCGAGCCTGCGGAAGTGTGTGGTGGTGGGCCCATTCGGAGCGCCTGCTGCGAGTATGTTCCATGTGAAGCGTGCGGTGGTAATGGCCGGTGGGATTGGTGTCACACCCTTTGCGGCACTGTTGGATACCCTGCTGGATATATCAGAGCATCCCGAGAAGAAACCAAGAAACTTTGCACTAGAACGTGTACACTTTGTGTGGACCGTTCGTAACATGGAATCACTCTCCTGGATCGAAGACCTCATCAACCAGGTCGAGCTGCGACGTGCTAAGGATACGGAGCTAAGACAGATGCTGCAGCTGCACATATACGTGACGTCCAAGAAATCAGCCGAGAACATTGGGGCTCAATTCTTGCAGCTTTTGCGTATGGGCGAGGATGGCTACGACGCTATCTCGGGGTTGAGGCATGCAGTAGAGTTTGGACGGCCCGATATAGATGGGTTGCTCGGCGAAATTGGTTCTGAGAGCAAGCACATGCCTACTGTGTTTTTCTGTGGGCCTCCTTTCCTGGGGAAGACTATTGGGAAGGTGGCAGCTAAATACAAAATGAGGTTTGCCGAAGAGCACTTCTAAGTTTAGTAAGTGTATAATGAAGAGTTTTAATAGCCGATACGTACCCTTTGCTAACAAAACGTGCAATACGATCCTTTCTTGCTAACAATGCAAGTAACACAGTTCTTACTGACAAGGTAAGCATGCACTGTAGATAGTAACATAATAAGATAGAATTAATAAAAGTGAGAACACACAAAAGCAATTGAACATGTTCATCCGGTCTTGCTTAATCAACTGCAAGTATCTATAATTAGCTCAGAGTGCTGCTATCATAACATACAGTATCTATAATACCAATACATAGCTCAGAGTGCTGCTATCATAACATACAGTATCTATAGTACCAACAACATACTTACACGTAGGGATCTTATCAAGTAGTATAGATCGAAATAATCAAAATCTATCCTGTGTACACAAGCCAATACCCTCTGTTTGGTCGACTGTGCGCCATGTGTTATACCACCGTATTTAATTTTTGTATTGTTAGTAGCGTACGTGTGGAATCAAGAAACACCTTTGTACACCCACTTGAGCATCCAACTACGTCTCACGAAAGCAGTGGCTATTGGTTACCTGTAGACAACATGTCCTACAATACGTACAAGACGCAATTGTATATTGAACAATCCTGGTGTCTGCGTAGCACTACCATCATACTTAGATTAGCCTTGAAGGTATTGCCGTGATTGATGACTCGTATCCAGCTTGTGCTTATCAGCACAGTCAGCTTGCAGATCGCCATAGTTCGGTATATGATCTTTTTGGCTATGTGTTAATGAAATGCGTACAGGTGAAATAAAGATATGTGTACATATTGTAATGTGGGAATGTGTGCCGTATTCACTCGCTCTAATCTTCGACAAGTCGTCATCCCATAAGAACGCCAATCTGTTCCTTCTATGAAATGCGCACATACCGATATACATCTGTCGTACGAAAAGATCACAAGTAGACGACCATAGCACGCTGACAGACATATTTAAATTGAGTCATTTATTACGTTCAACGTTTTTTACTGCAGGATAGGTGCATTCTATTATAGTAAAAACGTAATCATCATGCAAACACCTAGATTCGACACAACTTCCAAGAGTAAATAAACAGATGAATGACTATATATGTAAATGTATTTTAGCGGGAGATATCAACGATAATAAAAAATAATATTTTTTTGTTTGTATCTAACGTTGATGTATATGACTTTGAGTTCCAGGCCATACCATTGTTGTTTTCTGTGTGCAAAATCTGAGCTGGAATAACGAGCAATGACCGAAGAAATGTCTAATCCCGTCGAGGCATGGCTGTCGCAATTCGAACTGGCCATTGAACATAAGAATATAGACGATTTGATTCAGTTATTCGCAGGTATGTGGTTTTACATACTCAAAAATGCTCGACTCGCTGAACAACAATCACATCTTTAGCGGTGTCTGGGACGTTATCGCGAAATAGAGATTACTGTGAAACGCAATAGTTGCGAGTTCAGTTGGATACCATGATCAAGGAGTGGGGGCTAAAATCCTCCCAGGTGTGATTGATTAGGTTGTTTCATGCGTATAGTGTGTTCAAATGGCTAGTCAAGAATGCCTACAAACTGGATAAAGATATCATTCATGCAAAGCATTATGCGCACATGACTTAGCTTCGCTGATCGAGGAATCTGAGCGTGTCGTCTCATCTCTTTTGTCGGGGCCCTATCTTTATACTTGCCAGCTTCTATCAGTACACTCCCTTCGCTTTGACTTTACGTTTCATTGTTTGCTAGTTGTTTTTTCTGCATGCAGTCGAACATATTTCGAGCGCAGCTTCTATGCTGCCCAGCCATGCTTTGTACACACTTATTTATATATGAGTTAAGTATTCAGTCACTTAGCAAGATGGTTCTCATGAATCATAGTTTAAGAATCAACGGCGGCTCGAGCATTATGGATTCGATAGCAATATCAAGAGTGAGCAGGGGCATACAAATTTACTTTCATAAGTCTAGCAGACGGAGGAGAACATGCACCGGTGGGACAGCACACGGAAAATAGCGATCCGTATGCAACACGTTTATTGTCTTCGTCAATACGCTTATAACAGTTAGTAGATAAAGAAAATGCGCTTTTGGTACAAAGGTCGACTACCGGGCCGGTACTAAGCGGAGCTTGTCGCTTCACCAATTTACCGGTATATATCCAGTTCAACTGTGACTTGTATTGGAGCTATTTTAATAGCCTTTCTTAAAGTAAAGTTGCTATTGTTTACGACTTACAAAGCCAAAAGTCACAATTAACGACCAACTAAGAATGTGGTCTTGGAATGGAGATACAAGTTAGTTCATTTTAACAATTCTCACAATTTGGGCTTTAAATTCAGAGGAGTGCTACTGGCGCGACCTCGTGTCGTTCACATGGAATATCAAAACGATGGAAGGAAGAGATGCAATACAAGAAATGCTAACCAGCACACTCGCTCATATTCAACCTACGAACTGGAGTGTGGACGGAGACGTTACACCTGCTGCAGACGGCAGCGGTATGCTGGAGGCATTGTTGACTTATAATACATGTGTGGCACGTGGTCGTGCGCACGTGCGTATCAATGAGCACGGGAAGTGCTTCACACTGCTAACGAGTATAACAGAGCTGATTGGTCACGAGGAACTGGCGGGAATATCTCGGCCCAAAGGTGTGGAGCATGGAGTGGTGATGAACCGGTCGAGCTGGCTGGAAGAGAAGGAGAAAGAATTACGGGAACTTGGGGGATCTGATGATAAACAACCGTACTGTGTGATCATTGGCGGAGGCCAAGCGGGCATTATGCTGGGAGCTAGACTGAAGCGCATGGGTGTACCGACTATTATTGTGGAGAAGCGAGAGAAAGCCGGAGATAGCTGGCGACATCGGTACAAGTCGCTCTGCTTGCACGATCCAGTGCAGGTGAGTTGTTACGCGTGTTGCGCTATGGTTAGTGATATCAGATTTTGCATTTTCATGTGGATATCTAAATTGCCTTTGAAAATTTGAATTCTCAGCATGTCAGCTTTAAAACACCTTTTGGCTTGCATCATAGTCATGCCTAGAGAGTGAGTTGAAGATCTCACAGACAAACATGGGCCATGTGAGGCGCTTTGTGAGTGCATTTTCAACGATTACTGTGCTAGGTATATGAACATATGTGGAATCGTCTCTTGCATCACGTTGTCGTCACCTGTCGTACAAAACTTAAGAATACTTATAGCATATTTGCAATGGTTCTGCATCGTTTTGATCACACTTCGGCGACATTTCGTTCATCACAGTACTGCCACTTGCCGTATATAATGTTCCCGGATTTCTGGCCACTGTATACACCGAAGGATAAGATGGGAGATTGGCTGGAAATGTATACAAAACTTCTTGACCTAAATTTCTGGGGCAACACCGCCTGTACAAAAGCTGTGTACGACAGCAATGCAAAGGTAGGTATTTTTTTCTCCTTTGAGGTCCGCACTGAAGCTTTTGACTATCGAGCGTATCCGCGGTAAGGTTACAGTAAACAGACGGTTAAGTTGGCATAGGTTTTAAGTATCACCGCCAGAATGCGCATACAAATTTACCCGCACACACAATATCCCGATGTCGACATGGATTCCGTCCTGTCTCATATAATAGGAGTGGACAGTTAACGTGACAAGAGACGGTACAAATTTGCACGTGCTACGCCCCAAACACGTGATCATGGCGACTGGCATGTCCGGACTGCCAAACGTCCCGGATTTCCCTGGAGCGGATGAGTTCAAGGGCGAGATACATCACTCGAGTGCACATGGACACAGGTGCGCAAAAATCTAAAGTGTTGTCTCTCTGCCTGTTTGGACCACCATGTGGGTATATGTTGCTAACAATAGGGAGACGCTGAATCGAATTAACACGTTAACATGTCATGCCGTGGGTTTCTTAATGCGTAGCTACGCCTAGTATGTTCTCATCTCTTATATCACGAACAGTCTCGACAAAGATTGACATCCCTCACGCGCTATGCAATAACGGATCCTTTCCCAACCATTTTGCTTGAAGTACGTGATTCTTATCTACTGTGACTATGATCGCAATTTATAGTGAAGGATACAGGGGCAAGTCATGTGTCGTGCTCGGCTCAAACAACTCTGCGCACGACATATGCGCCGCGTTGTATGAGAGTGGTGCAGGGAGTGTGACCATGGTGCAGAGATCTTCAACACTGGTGGCCAAGATAGACACACAGGTTTGTATAGCTAAATATACGATATGTTATATCGATACTTCCGTAGCTTCTTTAGAAATGAACCAATAGATAGTTCACCTTAGAACTAGATCTTAAAGCATCTAGATGATCTGTGGCGAAACAGGTTCATACACCATTGTATACGTCCTGGATACTAGAGATAAGTCCTTGTACGGCAAATTATTTACGCTAATTTTGCAAGGTATGACGCTCTCGTACAGTTATTTCAGCTGGAAGTTATGGAATGTTGTGCTTACTTACTATATACATCTGTATTACAATTATCTGGTGCGACGCGGTTTTGATCGTTGTACTAAAACAATTAGTAGTATAAGTCTTATCTCGATTCACCTGCGGCCTACCTGAATGTCGCTCCAGCACATTTCACATTTATATTTTCATTTCTGCTTTATAATTACCAGCGGTCGCTCTGTTTAGATCCGCTATACTCGGAACAGGCTGTAGCTAGTGGCATTGACCACAACAAGGCCGACATTTTACTAGCATCAATGCCATACAAAGTCCTTACGAAGGTACAAGCCGGCGTTGCGGAAGAGATGTCGCGGAGAGATGCCGAGTTTTACAAACAGTTGGTGAATACCGGGTTTCTTTTGGACATGGGCTGTGATGGCACTGGTTTGTTCATGAAGTATCTTCGCCGAGGATCGGGCTATTATATTGTACGTATCTCCTTGCTTCTTGCTTTTGTTTGCTGCACGGTCTATTGTTTGCCATTGTTGTCAGAGCAAAGTGCAATATTTGAAGCGATATGCGTGTGATAATCTTGTTTTCTCCAATAAGAACTCTTTCGATTGTTTGTATATATATACAGCTGAGGCAAACTTCAAACAGTGCTAATTTATACAAATCGTCAATCGACACCATTGTATCTAGTAACTGTCAAAGTACCCAATCACTTGCTAGATACTAAACACTTTTTTTATTCATTACAGGATGTTGGAGCATCAGAGTTAGTCATCGATGGGCGGGTAAAACTATGTAACAACGTGACAATCGATCGCATTCATGAAAATTCAGTCGTGCTGACAGACGGGAGTGAACTCCCCGCGGACTTGATCGTATACGCCACTGGCTACAAGTAAGGCTCGATTGTGATGTTCTGTGTGCATCTATGCTCAACTTGAGATGATAGTTCCCCTGCCATTTGGAGATATCCAATTCACTCAGTGGAAGTGGTGTTATGTAAGAACCCCTGGAGCCGCGTGAATCCCTGCTTTGCAGCTGTTGTGTAACTGTTAGATATTGAACCTTTCGATTTTGCTACCATGCCATCATCTACACAGTGTTTTAGACTGCGGTATCTCGCCATCCATACTTAATTTCTAATATGAAATTTACATATGATTTCCAGGTCTATGAATGGATTCGCTGCCAAGATTATAAGCCCAGAGGTGGCTGATCGAGTAGGGAAGGTTTGGGGCTTAGGCTCTGGTACCAAGAAGGATCCTGGTCCCTGGGAAGGTGAACTGAGGAATATGTGGAAGCCAACACAACAAGAAGCACTATGGTTTACCGGCGGCAACCTGCACCAAAGCAGACACTACTCAATGTTCCTGGCCCTGCAATTGAAAGCGAGGTACGAAGGCCTTGCAACGCCTGTTTACGGGTTACAGGAAGTACACCATCTGTCCTAGGATGCCTCACCACGGCGGAGACAAAGTAGTTTTAATCAATAAATTGCAAGTATTGAATATCGTTCAATCAACCTGAAACGCTATCGGGTCCGAGATTTGTTCAATACTTTCGAGTGGGGTGTATAGCTGAGTTTCGCACATGCTGTTTGGGACACGAGTGCATGCTGTTTGGGACACGAGTGTATGCTGTTTGGGGACGCGAGTGCATGCTGTTTGGGACGCGAGTGCATGCTGTTTGGGACACGAGTGCATGCTGTTTGGGACACGAGTGCATGCTGTTTGGGACACGAGTGCATACTGTTTGGGACGCGTACAGTTCAACTTCAACGTCGTTAAGTGCTTACATCACGACGAGGGAGCGAAATCTTTTGCCATGAAGCGGCCAGGTGTGGCAATATTTCGGCGGTAGTATACGCGACAATTAATTGGGCGGAGAGGTGTAACGCACATATATACACAAAGCTCACGCATTTTTAGCGCAACTGGCGAGAACTGTTCTCATCTCGAAGATGCAGAAACGTCAATGGTTAGGACAATGGATTGAAGCCACTAAAAAACCACTGAGCAACAAAAGATAATGCGACGCATTTACTAGTTTATTTAAATGATACTAATTCTCTACTCATGTGTCTACTCGTCCCCTTCAGCATCTGCCACTTGCCTTAGCACGTTGTCAACCTCAGTTTTCATGCCACGAAGTTGCTGCACAGAATATCAACAATTACAATCTTCAGTTAAAGTAATAAAAAAAGGTCGAGAAATCAAGAAGAGATGAAATATAGGCATAGTGCGCATCACTGCGGATAAACAACAACACGCTTATAAACGTGACGGTTGTCTCCAGCAGACATACATCTTTCAAGGTGGCTACTTGCTTCATTGAATCATCTTTTTCTGCCTTGAGTTTGGCGATTGACTTCTTGACCGAGTCCAGTTTCAAGCGGTTCTCTTCCTGCAGAATTGAGAAAAGTGAAAGGAGAATGTTCGAAAACCTATGAACTAACTGTAAAAAATTATGATGTCTCCGGAAGGCTTGTCAAAAAACCCCCCCACAAAATCCCTGTTTGAAATCAAACAATATAAACTCAATAAACAAACAATACTGTGCACAGCTCGAGTTTCTAGTGTTTCGTTTCTTGCTTATTACAATTTCTATGTCTTGTTCTACAATTCGCTCTTCTAGCCGCAGCTTTTCATCGTCGTCCATCTACAGGTTTAGATGCAAAGAAGGGCGGTGAACATTGAGTATTCGATCCTTATATCGCGATAATACACATATTGTCCAATCCAACGAACAACGGTAGTCACCTCACATAGGGGGTATAGGATAGAAGCAACATTGTTGTTGCAGACCCTCGATACACGAAGAGGTGATGTTGTTTCTAGTAGGCATGTACACGATGTCGGACATAGCATTCAAATCGCATATTCGGTTGGCAACATACCTCACCGATATCCTCTAGCCGCTCTAGAGCCTCGTCTCTCTCCGCCTGCAGCGAGTCGCGCTCCTACAAGGTTAGTGCAATGACAAGCCCAGCATCAGTGATAGTAGGTGGTCGACTCTTGTATATTAAACGGCCTGCTGTAGGTGGTTGGCAATACATATATCAACGCAAATACGGCTTGCCTCTATTAATTCGTTGACTTTATTCTCAAATCCGTCCCTCTCCGACTTGTACTTATTGGCAGCGTTCTGAGCGTCCGCCATGTGCCCCTCATACTCATCCTATCGTCAACGACAAGATATAGATGAAGAAATAGATGTTGAGACAGATCATCTGTAAATCAAAACTACCACAGCAGGATTCAGTACCAACACATCTGTTCTATAGGTAGAGCTAGAGAAGAATCGCATTCAATAACAAAGTAGATAATCTCAATACCGCATGATTCATAGTAAGAGCATTTGGTGCAGTATGGCGAATCTGGGTAGGTTACTGTGTTGCTGCATTAGTATTTAGGTCAGACTACATAGGTAAACCGAATCATAGTGAGACACATGCTTGAAATTTTTATATGTCAGAATGTTTCTCCGCTAGAAACGATGCCTAACGTACAGCCTTAACTTTTCGAAGGATATTGCACGGCATTCAAATGACAAACGGGAGTATATATATATATACATACATAGATATATATACATATACATACATACATACATCCATACACACATCCATACATACATAC